TAAATTTCGCCTTTTTGGATAATTTTTGTGCCATCTCCTTAAAGAAAGCGAGGAAGTCCCAAAACAGCTTCACTGTTTTCCTGAGCAAGAATTGTTTTTGTTGGGATTGGTTGTAGGAAGATGGAGACCCCCGCCCCCTACCCTGCCCCTGTGGGAGACTGGAGGTTGTGTTCCTCTCTGCCAGGAGCCCGTGGGACAGAGGGACACAAGCAACTAGTGATCATAGGCAGATGATCGGCCAGCCTGGGGACTTGGGGATGGGTTGTCCTATGGTACCTGGTTCAAAAACCAGTAGATGAAAAAAAATTCAAGGACATGTAAACTTTTAAGGAATTCAGACAGGGCCTTTCACCTTTTCTTTGCTAGAGATCTGCTTACAGCCAAACAGGAGTAACTGGCCTTGTCACAGGTCTAGGGGGCTTTTAAAAGCCAGCTCACCCACAAGGCCAGCTTTTCTGTTGGCTTCATGAGGAGACTTTTACTTGGCCTTATTTGTTCCATGCTAAACTCTATGACTTGAGAAGTTGGCTTCTGAAACTCTGTCAAAATGTTTTGTTGTGGATAATTTTGAAATGTTGAAGGTCTTTCACAGAACACAACACGGTCACATTCTTCCCCCTCAATCACGGCCTAAAACTTGGCATGTGGTCATGATTCTGTTTTCAACTGAAGAGCCACGCCCTTTTTTTTTTACCTGCCTGAATTTTCAGTTAGGAAAAAAAAAAGTTACGTGGCTTCTGAGTTCTGAGTTGAGGCAAACTGAGAACACGAAGCAGTTTCTGGAGCAGCCTGAGCCCGGCCAACTGGGGCAGGCGCAGGAAAGCCCTGCTGCCTTACCGAAGACGCTACTTTCCTTCCAGAACTCTCTCCAGAATTAGGCAGGGACGTGGCCTTGGCCTGAGATCACACCCTTACTTGACTTACTGGCTTTCCCCACTTTCCTTAGGATTCTTCCCACGAGCACTTCTTCAATAACTTGCCCATGAATGTTTGTCTCAACATCTGTTTCTAGAACACCTACTCTAAGGCAAGATTTCAACTTTGTGGCTTCCTAAGAAAAGCTTCTCTCTGGGAAGGCCAAAGTCAGGGAGATCCCCGCCTCCGGCCTGTGGGGTCTGGAAAGGGTTGACATGGATGGCCTTCATTCTCCGAGGCTCACCTGTATCCCAAGGGGGGCATTTTACATGCCTCTGGGGCAGGGACTGTGGGACAAAACTGGAGGCAAAGGACCAAATCCCTCCTGCCCTGCAGAGGACTCTTTAAGCTGATGGGGTCACAGGAGGATTTGATAACGCTTTAAAAACTGACATAACCCCTGCCCCGATAGTTTTCTATCTAACTCAACTTAAATAGATGTAGTCAAAGGTAAAAATTTATTTTTTTTCCTCTCATCACACTTCAAAGTTTTTGTTTTTTTTTTTGGTCTCAATTCAAGCCAAGATGAGAATTGGAAGCACTATAGCATTTATTTTTCTTTTTTGGAAATTATTTTTAGGAAACGGCTCTCTTGAAAAAGCTGGTTCTTATCATCTTTTCTGCCCAGTTTTCAGACATCTTTTTAGAACTTCGCATAAGAGTCCAGACTTTAGATGTGTATTCTATTGAAATTTGACACATGGAAAATTTTGCTTTCAATTAATTGGGAAGAAAGGAAAGAAGGAAGGAAGGAAGGAAGGAAGGAAGGAAGGAAGGGGGGGGGGAAGGAAGGAAGGAAGGAAGGAAGGAAGGAGGTAGGGCTCAAAGCTTCATATGTCTAGATGTAATTTTTGTTAAAGAGAGAGGGAGAGGGAGAGGGAGAGAGAGAGAGAAAGAAAGAGAAAGAAAGAAAGAAAGAAAGAAAGAAAGAAAGAAAGAAAGAAAGAAAGAAAGAAAGAAAGAAAGAAAGAAAGAAAGAAAGAAAAGAAAGAAAAAAAGAAAGAAAGAAAGAAAGAAAGAAAAGGAAGAAAAAACAAAGGTGACTTACTGAATAATCATTCATGTTTGGTTTTTATTTTAGGCTAGAAGATCTATAACATTGACCATCTCCAGTTACAAAATGATTAACTGTTATTTGATGTAATTTTATACAGTGGATTTCAGACCTTACTCCTTAGTACCAGGTTGTGATATGAATTTTACTCACTGGGTGAGAGGGAGACTGAGCGACACAAAATGTTTTCCTTCAAGATTAATCGTTTGTCCGATTTCCCTCATTAGCCTCGGAAACTTCCAGAAATACTCAGACCATTCGATTATTAGAACATGCAAAATAAAGTCTGTCCTCAGGGACAGAAATCTCATAGATGCTTATGTTAGAACTTTCCTGCCTCCTCTCAACACTTTAATCATCGTTTATAAATGCCTCATTTCCTCTCGCGAACTCTGTTGGATCGGCAGCCTTGAGATCTAGTTGTTGAATGGCCCCAAATGAAAGAGAATAAAAATAGGTGAACATCACCCAAATGAAAAGTATTGGCCTAACGTTCAAATGATTTCTTGGATTCCTCCTCCTTTGGACCCCTTTTTAAGTCTTTCATCACTTTTAAGTCTGTTATGAATGAGTGTGAGCTCCACGACGCAGAGTCCTGCAAGAAATTGAACTTGCCAGAGCATTAGACTCTGATTACCTGATACTCAAAGGAATCTATACATGCATATGTATGCCCGCAAGAGACTAATTTGAGAAAAACGTAGCCTAATGAAAAATGCATGGTCTGAGAGTGAGAAGAGCTGTTTTGAACCTCAATCCGCTTCTTTCTAGCTCTGTGACTTTGAGCAGATCACTTACCCTTTCTGGTTTTCACTTTCTCACCCTTAAAATGCAACTCGTCATGCCTTTTTGGCCTGAAAGTCAAATAATAATATTTCTGCAAGAGCTTTATAAATGAAGAAAGAGTATTCTAGCGTTAGTTTACTAATTAAATGTGAGACTGCAAATGTTCATTAAAACTAAGAAGATAAATTAAAGTTCAACTGTAACAAATTATACCTTTCATTTGTAACCTTTTAGCAGTCTACTTGACAAGTATTTTTTCGAGGGACTATGACATGTCAGGTGTCCCTCGAGGGGCGCATAGTAAACAAGACAGGTGCGATTGATAAAGAGTTGGGACCATTTAGACAGTGCTGAGTGGCATTCAAAGTAGAGGGGATATTGAGGTACAGGTCGGATGGGGACCACATGAGGCAAGGGACTTAAAAATGACGTCCCTAAGATGTACCATTCAGGCTAAGACCTGAACAGTGATGATGGATCAGGTGGATGATGACCTGACGGAGGGTATTACGGGCAGAGGGGACAGCCTGTGCAAATCATCCGAGGAAGGGTATGATCAGGCCTTGAATCTTGGGTTTTCTCTTTTATTTGCCACCTCTGTGGGACCTGTTTTACATGGGACTTTTATAATACCCTCCTGTGAGGTCTATCAGATTCTACAGTTTGAGAGTGAGACTGCCAGCTTGAAGAAGCCCGAACCTTGTGTGGCTTCTTCATCCTCTCAAGCCCTGAGCCTCTGGAGGCCAGTGTCTCAGAGGGGCCAGCACAGGGTCCCAGGCTGAAGAGGAAACCTTTGCTTCACGGGAAAGAGAAGGATGAAATGGAAGGACGCTGATGCATCATGCCCGCGAAGAAACAGGAAAAAGGAATGGCTTATGTCAGGGCTTTGAGTCAAGGGAGTGGGCGGGAGCAATGGAGAGGTCTCAGACCTTCCTCCCAAGAGCAGAATGAACCCTCCCTTCCCCCTGCCCACATTTAGGTCAAGCCCCCAGAACAGCAGCAGCGGCACCCAGGGCGAAGTAGAGAGGCTGCCCAGAACTCAGAGGAAGGAGACAGAAACAAATCAAGTCACCCCCTGTTCCCCCCAACTTAGAGTAGCTGCATCCACCTGGCCCTGTGCAGGGGACATGTGAGCATCTCCTCAGATGCTTCGCGAAGTAGAGAGGCTGCCCAGAACTCAGAGGAAGGGGACAGAAACAAATCAAGTCACCCCATGTTTCCCCCAATTTAGAGTGGCTGCATCCACCTGGCCCTGTGCAGGGATGCTTTGTGACCTTGAGCTGTCGCTCCCCTTGGAATTGCCTTTGGGCCAGTGCACTGGCCCTTGTACCAACTTGTGGGGAGGCCATCCTCTCTTTTAGAACTTACCAGAGTCTCCACGCAACTCTGGCCATGGGGACGCTGGTGACCCACGCCGGCTTGGACCGGCCTCCCTTGGCATGATGACGGCAAGAAATGGCTTGGCAAAGGAAGGACACACAACTGCCTTCCAGAAAGAAGCTCTCTGCCTTTGTCGCCAGAGCCCGGGAGGCGACCCCTTAGCCTTCTTTCTGCTTTAGGATGGAATTCTCACCCTTTTGCATAAAAGTGCCAGACCTTGTGCATAAATGCTGGCAACCAGATTCCAACGTGGATCCCCAATTCCAATTTCCACGATCCAGAAGAATGCAGCTTCTCCCATGTCGATCCAACTTCCTGACATTTTTTCGATTAAGAAAAATAGAGCCTATAGGAAAAATCAACATGACCGTAAGGGGACTGAGCTAAAGACAGCACGTTTCCAAGTCTGTGCCATTTTGTTTATATATATTTGGTATATGTATTATCTGATGGGTTCGTTCTGATTTTTATTGGAGGCGGGGATTTTTATTAATACTCACGTGGAGTGAGGAGAAGAGAGAGGAAGGGAGAACACGGGGGAAGAGTTGGCTGGAGAAGATAATCTGGTTATTTATTTAGAGTTTATTTAGGCAAAAGGACTTTAAAAAAGGCTTTGATAAGAGTGGCTGAGGTTTCTTCAAAGATTAACTGGTGTTCTTTAAAAGGGCACGAGCCTTCCTTTATACAGGTGTTTGAGGCGTTCAGAACTGCATGTCCATTAGAATTCTTTGCTGGTCTGTAGATTTCCTGAAGACACGCTGCTGACCACAGGACTCCTCTCTCAGATTCTCTCTCTCTCTCTCTCTCTCTCTCTCTCTCTCCCCTCCCCCACTCCCTCCCTCCCTCCTTTCCCTGGCCCTCCCTCCCTCTGCCCCGTCTCTTCCAATCTCTTTCTTTCTCTCTTCAGTTCCTTCAGGTAAATCCTACTCAAACTTGTACCAACTTGTTTTTGACTGACAGTGAACAGCGAGAGAGTTTTCTTCATTTTGAGGGAACCTAAACACCTATCTCTCCCAAGGCAATCTGCATGGAGTGATCCCTCCTGTGCCTTGTCAGACCCCCACATCGAGCCAGGAGTCTGCCTTCACCCGTATTTGCAGGTAAGAGGTCTGGGCTTGTGTCAACACTGGAGCAGGCAGCATGTTGGAGATACTTCTGAAACACTCTTACTTCTAAAGGTAATGAAAAAGTTGTGATTCTTTTAAACGTTGCTTAAATCATTCAAGACGTCCAGGCTTATCTGGGGAAATTTACAAGTGCCGTTTGCATGTGGAGAACGGGTTTTTACTTAATGATGGGGCAAAAAAAAAGTGCTTTATTCTTGCCTGTGAAACAATATCCAGATGTTGTCTTGTTTGTTGAGGGTGTAAGTGATCTAGATCAAGGGAGAAGAATTATCCTGACTTCTCTTTGCAAGTGTTGTTTTCTCTCATATTGTCTGTCGGGGCAAGTTTGTTATTGATTTTCAGCGATTATGTAGTTCTCGGGGTCGATCTCCGGCAGTTATTTTCCATTGTCAGGAGAGAAATCAGTTGAGGTTGCCGTAAGGCGAAACCTCACTGGAATATTTTAAAATGTTACCTATCCTTCTGAGAAAAAGTTATGTAAGTTTTCCGTGGTAGGTATAAGGAATGTAAACAATTCTGACTTTGAAAACATTATGAACCTTGTTCATGACCCATGGATAATGCGTCTTATAATCCGTGTATAATTTCATGTGCGTTTAGACTATTCTCGGCTAATGAATGTTATACTGGGTGAAATTTCCACATTTCACGTAGCTCCTGTGAAGCTAGTTTTTTTTTTTTTTTTCCTCCTCTGCACTTCCGTATTTAGCTGTCTGTAGGAAATGAGAATTCATCGTTCGGTGGGTATTTCTTGACCTCCCAATTACTTTAAGTCACAGGTTCAGAAACTTACAACAAATGCAAGATTTAACTTGGGAAAATTAAAGACCAAAGTTTGTCACACTCAATTCGAACGCTTAGATTTATTTCTTCTTATCGGAAAATATCTTAATTTTTTTTCCCTTGGAAAAAACACGACAAGCGATTCTTAAAGTTCTTTTTTTTAAACCTGAAAATCACACACTCTCTCTCTCTCTCTCTCTCTCTCACACACACACACACACACATCACTGTTAACCCCATTTTGTCTCCTCTTGTAAATGTTTAAACAAACATGTAACGATCAACAATATAGCCTTAGGTGATAAATTCTCTCTATTTAAACTTGTCTTAAGAATTAAGAGAAATATATAATTTAATATATTGCATGTTTAAATGCCATCATTTTGCGAAAACTAAATATCAAGAGACTTCCAGTTGAACAACAAAGCACTTACCTCACACACAGCTCCCCCGGCGCTGTTCTTTCCCTGGATTTTGTTTTTTTGCTGTTTTTCTACTTCCCAAGCTATGAATATAATAAATGGCCACGCAGGGAGTAGCGACCCAGAGGTCACACGACAAGTCTTCACGAAAGCTTGGAAAGTAGACGAGTTTAACCCAATCGCCAGTTACATATCTCAGAAATGCTCATCCGGTAACAGAGCTGACAGGAGTTAAATAAACGCATAAGTAGTTTGGGGTTTTTATAGAAATAGGCTTAGCTGAATTTTGTGATCCTGGTTGCTTAAGGAAAGCATATTTTCAAAAATTCCTCCCGCCCTCTTCCCACTCCTTCCTTCTACCAACAGTTGTGGTCATTTTATAGAAAGTGTTATTTCCCTAATTTCCTCTCTTCGCACTTACAACCAGTGCAGACAGCCCGGTGTCGGGGGAAGGAGAGAGAGCGAGACCCCGGACTTCCCACGCCAGCAGCCCCGGAGAGCCAACCAAAGCAGGTCTGCTGGCTCTTTGCACGGGGCTCGGCTGGCTCCCCCACGGAGGCGATGTGGGAAAGGCTGTTGTTCTTGTGTGGGGTGTACGTGACTGTACACCTGGATGACGGCAACATGCTCGGTGAGAAGAACTACCGATGTATGGTTTTAGGCACCAAATAGAGGCGAACTTTTTTCTAGGCTTAGTAAGTGTTGAGCACTTGAAATGTCGCTTCCTGCGTACCCTGTCTCACGTGTTGGAGACATCGCTTCAGGGTCCAGAGTCGTTTGTAGACTCCGTTGGCCTTGTGGACCCATTAGAACCTCAAAACCAACATAACAGGCCACAGAATGAGCCGTAAGCCTCGAAGAGCTGCTGACGACTAGCCCCAGGGAAGGGCTGTTTCAGGCATAAAACACCCTGATCGTTTCCTTCGGTCTTTAATTTGTAAGTAATTCAGCTACTGTCTTTCCCCGCCCATGACAATTCGAACCCTTCCCACTGGAGTAAATCGGTATCTCCAAATGTGTTGTTTTAATTCTTTTTTGAAGCAAAACACGCTCTACTCCAAAAACAGTCAGGAAGCTATGGCAAGGGTTAACGTTAGCTTCTATGCTTGCAAAAAATAGTTAATTGCTTATTAGTGGATAAATGCAAGAGTCATATGAGGCAGAGGTTATGATCCAGCCTCTGTCTCTCCTGCCCTTCACCTTCAGCTCAGAGGTCCACCTGGGGAGTGTGGCTTTTGGTGTCATTGGAGGGGCATGTGCGTGGCGGGAGCAAAGTGAACCAAGGACGGTCCACCTGTTCTGAGTGCCCAGGGATGCCCTGCCATGGAAGGGGATAGATGTGACCCAATACACCTGGCTGGTTGATGCCGCTCAGGTAGCTTCCTGGTGCCAGTTTATAGACAGGTAAGGGAGCTGTGAGGCCAGAAGTGAACCCTCCCCCAATGACAGGGACAAAGGGAAACCTGCCTCTCCCCTTGAAAGGAGCAACAGGGGGCACAGAGGGAGAGGAAATAACATATGATCTGAACAACAAGGTTCTGAGAAAGAAGTTTGACTTACTAGGTGTTACGTGGTTGAGATGAAAGGAAAAAAATGAGCAAGCGGACCTTCCGGGTAAGAGACAGAACAGGAAAGTGGAATCTGGCAGAGGGTGTCCCGTCCCGTCTGTAAAATGCTCTCTGCGTTAATGCAGGCAGTGGGGCGGTCACCTCCACTCAGCGCAATGCACCTAAGTCCACAAATTCTTAACAGACTTCCAGGGCTTTTAGCAAAACGAACATTTCTGCTCATTTCATAAAGAACGGTCATAGCTCATGAGGTGTCTGTGTGTCGCACTCAACAAGCACCTGCCTTCACTGGCGAAGAGACCATGAAACCCATGGTCACTGCAATCCAGAAGTTCGCGTGCAGCCTAATTCCAGAACACAGTCTATGCTTCTAGACCTGAAATTCTGTAGCACGAATTCCAGATTTTTTTTATCATGATACAAAGGTGAATGAGGGTTGCCCGATCATGCGCCGAGCAGAAAACTCACAAGAACAAAGACAAGGTATTGATTTTTGGTGTCTCGAAAACACATGTCACAGGAAGCAATTAAATGGCAGAGCATGTCTGTGCTACCTCAGGACTGAGGATCTAGAGGAAATGTTGGAAAGAATTAGCAACAGAATAAGCACCGTTTCGTTCTGTCCTTCCCCATGACTCTGAAGGTCAAATGCAGAGCAGTGTAGCCCCATAGTCATCACATGAAACGAAGCAAGCAGCTCCCTCTATGGGGGCTGGGCGACAGCCACACAGCTGCACTGGCTACTCAAACTCCCAGCCAAGGTTCTGAGTTCACGAAAATGACATCCTGGGTCTGACCGTGTCCCGAGGATTATAGATCACACTCATCTTCAGAGTCAAGTGGGGCCATCGGAATACATGGGGGTGGCTCAGAGGAGAGGCACTGCAGTCCTGGATCTGATCCTTAGGGTGTCTCGAGGACCCAGGTAGCTGGCTTTGACTTTCGATCCACACTCTGTTCCAGGTGAAGGTGCCCTGGCTGAAATTCTTTTCTGTTTTCTCCAGTGCCGGCACTAGAGGCTGATCGAGATTATGCGGAGCTTCAAGATCACACGATTTGGGGGAATCTCTTCAAGAAAAACAAGTGGAAAATTATGACTATAAAATTAGGGATGAGGCTGTGGGGAAGGCTGGTGTGACTGGGGAGCTCTGACACTTGAGTTTCAGTAACTTCTTGATGAGGCCACTCTGTGTCACACATCATAAAGGCCCAATACTTCTGGAAGGAATAGTTGAATTAATTTATATAAATTTTAGCTGCTCACTGCCCTCTAAGTAGCTCTGAGAAATGATAGGTGAAAATACCAAATAATCAGTCTTGTACATATCTAATGACCAGTGATATATGGAAAAGTGATCCGGGCAGTATCTGGAATATTCCTCATTTCACTGGCACGCTGCCATGAGATCCTTGCTGTGTGTGGCTGAAGTTTTACGTCATCACTAGGCCCAAGGGTAGATGCTGTCTCTGTTTTTTCCTACGGCTGGGTCTGTGGCCACCAAAACAAGGAGTCACTTTTTCTCTGAAAAACCCCAAGCTAAAAGCTGAAGAACACCATGCTGATCGCGAGCCTAGAACTTAGAATGATACAAAGTGCATCAAAAATACATTTTTCTTTTAACGTGAAGGTTCACCCCAGCGAAATATCTGTGCGTCTAACAAGAAACAGCCTCTTCTTCCGTCCGTTTCTGTGAATGCTGTTTCTGACAGCAGTCAACAGTGTCACTTCTCAGTAGGAATGCTCGCTAAGCCTCTGTCTGCCAGGCCAAATAACACTCTGCGTCCACGGTGTTTGCATCTTCAAGTATTTGCAGATTGATATCTCGCTCTCTCCTGGTCCCGTGTGCCAAAGAACACAAGGTTGGCTCCCCGAGTCTGGCTTCCTTACTTCCTGAGTTAGCCTTTGTGTCTAATCCTACCCCTGAAGAACTCGTTTAAAGTTAATTTTGCTCTGAAACATCATGAAATTTGGCGTCATCTGTATTCTCCCTAACGACACCATCCTCATATACCTGCTAGGAGTTAAAGAAAATGCGTGAGCCCTGGAGCACCTGGCTCCTTTGTCTAGAATTCTCTAAATACTAAGGCATGAGAACCCGCCCTGCCTCCTTTATATTTTCAAAGGTCCATCGAAAGAATTTATATAGAAAGAGATTGTATGTGTCACATACAGACACATACATGCAAGTGACAAAGGCAG